GGCAGGTGCCGCCGAGTGAGGCCGAGGCCTGAGGCCTGTCCAGAGGCCGCCCCGCCGCCGTGTCCGGCTGATAGAGGGAGCGGTGAGGAGGCGCCCGGGCCGGGTGGTTTGGAGAGCCCGGGCGCGGAAGGGGGTGAGGCGGTTCCGCCTGTCAGGAAGGGCGCTCGGTGGCGTGAGGGGTGTCGGTGTTGGGGGAGGCTGCCTGCCCGCTCGGTGCGAGCGCTTCCGGCGCAGCCCTGCTGCGTCCGAGGGTCTGGGGGTTGATTTTTAAACGAGCGACGTTCTTCAGCCCTCAAAATAATAACTTTCAGTCTCAAACTAAGCCCAGAGTTCTGCTTTGCGTCTTGTGAGTAGGAAAATCTTACGTTGTTTCAGTAATGGGGTGCGATTTTCTGTCTTGCAGGTGGCCGGTTAATAGGGAACACGATGAAAGAAGCAGAAATAAGGAGACTCTTTGCTGCCAACCTCCTCTGTTTTTTTTCAGTTATTCTGACAGCAGTTCTTCCGGGTTTTGTCTGGGACACATTCACAGTTTTGGGAACACACCTCACATGGCTGTGTATTTGTTCTGTTTGTGTTAGTACCCTTAATATAATCTTGCACGTGGTCCTTAAACCAAATCTGACTCCTAAGAGAAGTTCATTTGCTCACAAGGTAAGATTTTTATTCGTAAATTTCTACCAGGCAATATGGAGAGGAAGCGAATTCTTTCACTGAAATAATCGAATGAGAAAGGAGTCATTTTTTGGTGGTAAATTCTTGTTTTCCATGAATGACCTGAGTGTGTAGCACCTTGTGAAAGAAGTTCTCCAATATTTTCGTGATCTTAAACTTTCTCTACCTGTAAATAACCTGTTCAGGTGAGCAATTCTGTGCCTTTCCTTTTTCTTGTCAGTATGTTGTTGTTTGTAGTCCCAGCAGTTGGTCTTCCAACAATTTGCATGGTGGTAAAAATTGGCAAAATTGAATGAGTGCAGGCCTGACCTTCGGTGTTAGGAAGAAACACTTTTTGCATGTGTAGTTATAAATTTCTAATAACTTTACAGGAAGAAAAATAGTTTTTAGAATTTGAGATGTAAAAGAGAGACTAGATCATTACAATTTCAACAAAATCGGTAAATTTTAAAAATTTATGTGGAAAAGTATTAAAATGGCTACATTTCCTTGAATGATGGAGTTTGCACATAGAAGAATCTAAATCTGGGGAGAAATTTTTGTAGTTGCAGTTTGAACAGGAGCACTAAATCCCAACGAAGTAGGCTTGAGCAGCACACAACTTGTTCAGGAGCAGAGGAACACACTGGCATACATGATTCTATGATTTTTGAAGTCAGCTGGATAGTCTTGCACTCCCAACTTGCGGAGTCCGACAAGATTTAGTGCTCTGATGATTCTCAGACATTTAAGCAGACATCCCTGAAAGCAGTATCTTTGTTTGCAAAGCTTCTGTCTAGTTTTTCTGACTGAGGAGGATGTGAAATACACAAAATCATTATGGAAAACAAGTATTTTAGCCATCTGTGATTAAAAAGTGAAGCAGGCTTCATGTTCTAGGTGAGATTTCATCCCAGCCTAGCATAAGGAATAAATGTCAAAATAAGTGTTCAAGTGAAATTATGGATTTCCATACGTGACCTGATCAGAACAGACCTAACCAGAACTGTTTGTCAAGTGGCTATACTTCTATACGATATAGTGACTACCCAGAAACTGTTGTTTAAATTCATAGAAAATTATGTGTTTTGCAGACTCACAGGAAGTCATGGACATTGCTCAAATGGATTTAGAATTTAAGATGTCAAGTTCAAAATGTAGTGGGCTTTATTGCATGTATTTTTAAGTATTAAATTTTATTCTAAATGTCTTTTTTTTTTTCCATATTACATATTTTCTTGCTTTTAAATATTTTTGGACTTTCTGTGAAAGATGCCTTTTAATGAATGGACATAACACCCAGATGTAAAACAGAAATGTAAAAATATCCAATAAAATTATCAGTGTTTATCTTGTAATTTCCAGTTATATTTTTCGTATGTTTGCCTTATTACAATAGGGTGTGTGAAAAAAATTTAGATGGAGTGTGATCATTTTTAATTAATTATTTGAAGTATTAAACATAGGGAAAACGGTTTTGAAATATGCCATGCTATTATCATACTGTGCTATAGCAGACATTAAAGAAATAGGTAGAGTACAATGTTAGTGTTAAGATGTAGACTATGTATGTTACTTATGTTCTCTTTTCTTTTGAAACATTATTCTGATATTTTATTGCTCTTTTTTAGATATCCAGATTTCTAAAATGCTGTATATACTTTTTCATGTCTTGCATACTATTTCATGCGATTATTGTTCTTTATGGAGCACCTCTCATAGAGTAAGTCAGAAGACCCTGTCTTTCCCTAAATGTTTTAAGGGGCAGTCCTCCTTGCATATATTGGTATAAGTACTTGCATATTTCCTGGTACATTGGAAATTAAAGGATAAGATCCTGGCTGGGGGAAGAAGGGTGGCTGTTTTGTTTTTTGGGGGGGGCTTGTTTTGGTTTGGGGTTTTTTGGGGGTTTTTTTTGTTTGTGTTTTTTTTTTTTTAGAAGCTGGCTCTTAACGATTTGTGTATATTTGGAGATGTGTTGTTAAAGACAGTTACAAGCAACTCCTTTTACTTTACTATTTGTGTGAAACATAAGGGTACAAACATTTTTCCATGATTCATTTAGTCATTTTCCCCATAGGGTTCTAAAACACACATCTTTCATATCTTTCATCCTTTTGATATTAGTGTTTTAAGATTTAGGAATGATTAAAAAAGGGACGGGGGGAGAAAGGAAAGGCACGAAGCAGCCTGATTTCTGAGAGAGATACTAAGTTAGTGCCTAACAATAGCATCATGTAGTTTGGTTTCATGGTTGCTTCCACAACATGAAACTAGAAAAATAAGTGGAATAAGGAAGTAAATATCCAAGTGTACTTCAATTCAGAACTAACATTCTATATGAGGTACTCTCGTGCTTTCTAAAATGTTGTGGGTATCAGGCATTTAAAATAATTACTGCATTTCAGTCTTTGTTGAGATCACAAACAGATACCAGAGTTCTTTCCAGAAGAAAATCCTTTATTCTTCTACATGAGGTTTAAGAAAGCATGCATGCTTTCACAAGTTGACTTAGGTGTGGAGTTTTTTTCCCTAAATATTGGAATTCTTAGAAAATTAGTAACTCCTTCACTTAATTTTGTAATATTCCTTCTTTGTAGGTCAGTGACTGAGACATTTCTGTTTGCAGTTCTCTTGTCTACCTTTACTACTTTACAGTGCTTGTGTATACTGGGACCAAATGTACAAGCATGGATACGGGTATTTAGTAAAAATGGGTAAGTTCTATTTGCAAGTTTCTGATTTTACTCAGAATAGACACGGACAGAATTGGTGTAAACAACGTGTCACAGAATTTTTTGTAAAGAAAGGAAAAATTCCAGAATTACGGGCATTTTTCATATTTGTAATTACAAGCTTATGAAAGCTTTTCAGACAAAGAAAATTATTGTTTACTTTGAACACATTGATTCAGAAAAATTACTTTTTATTTTTGGTGTCCAGACACTAAATATCACTTTCTATGTGTTTGAAGGAAGTAAAGTTTCCAACACATAATTTAATGGTGCAAAACCATTGTGCAGTCCTGTATGATGGTTATCAAATAAAGAGGAGACCTGAGACTGAGTTGTAAAGGGAAACTCTTGCACATGATCCAATAGCACCTTTGTAAACACAGCTTTTTAAAAAAGGAATAACAAGCCAAAGTAAACACTATTTTAACAGTATTTTTAACTTGAATATAATGGTGAAAATTATATATAATTTACTGTGGTCTTAAGTATGTAATGTTTACCCATGCTATTTTTCAAATTTCAAAGCAAGCTGTTTTCAGTGTTGGAGTTTTCAAGCATTAATCTTTTTCAAGAGTCTGTTTAGAGTCAAATGAGCCTTTTAACCTCATTTTCACTTCAGTGACAGCCATGACATGTATCGAGAATAATGTATCTTTCAGAATTATTCTATGTATTCTTCCATTTTTCACTCACTAAATAACAGGATTTTTGAAAGACAGGGATGCTGGAACATAAAGAAGCCCCATATATGCTTGAGGTTTAATAATAAGCTGTTAGCACTCATTCCCTTTTAGTAGGTCATTAGGGTGAAGTATTATCTCAAAAGAAACTGAGAAGTTGTATAACACTGCTGAATGTCCTGGTTTGAGGTAAAACAGAGCCAATTTTGTTGAGTAACTTTGCTTCTTAGCTAGGCCTCTTCTAGCTTAGTTCCTTCTAAACTCATAAGTTTTTCTTCCCCTCCTCTGCCTCTCTCTTTGAAGAGGGGTAGGGGAAAGCATCTGTCGGTCCCATCTGGGGTGCCCCACATCCCCAGTGGCCTATTTGGCGTAAACCACAACGCTGACCTATGGAGTTACTTTTGGTTTTTAAGCTTATGCAGAGGAGGACAAAAGTAGACTTTTTATAGTAGTTTCAGTTATTGACTTTCAGTTTATCTCAGTTCTCAGCTTACTGAAATTATTTTGAATCCTCATTCAAGTTAGTTATGCTTACTTTTTAAATTTTCAGTGGAAGGGTTGAATAGAGTAATGGAAACGACACTTTGCAAGACTTTGATAAAAGCGTGGAATTGTTTAGCCAAAACAAATCATTGCTGATTCACATAGTTATCTTTGGAGGTTTTAAAACTGGAAATAATGGTTGAAGTCAGATGTCACAGATATTTGTCAAACAGATGTTCTTCAACAGTCTGTCTTTGTGCCAGGTTAGATTTTGACTGCCTGTCAATTTTTTTCTTTCCTAGTCTGGATGTTAATGTTATTTCAGCACAGTTATTGCATAGGAAACAGGGTTGTCTTGTTTTGACATTTTTGCTGTGACAACTTGTACATACTTCTTATTAGTGAGCCGTGTGACATTAGTCTGAATAAAACGTCTATTTAATAATGATAATTAGACTAGCATTTGAATGAAAATGGACTACAAAGAAATATTGTACTTTTTTTTTTTACGGATTGTAGCAAGCTGCTCTTTTAAAATAATTCTGTGGTGTTTTCATTTCACCTCATGAATGAGTTGGAACATCTTGCACTTAGGTGTGAGCTGTGTGTACGCATGATGTATTAAAAGGTTGTCTCTCACTTAACCATGTGGAATGAGGTAGGACTGGTTGAATGGAGGAAAAGGATGGTTAGGTAAGATCAATACAGCTGTTTGCCTTGAAAGTGAATTGCACTGGGACAGCAAGCTGGAAAGTCTGATTTAGAGTACAACTTAGTATGAAAAAGGAATTTGTTTTAAAAATATCTGAATACAATTTAGACTTAAGGAACCACTAGCATTTATTTTTGTTGTTTTTATTTACCTGTGCAGTATTTATTTGTAAGATCAAAATGTGCTTGTGCCATTGTCTTTGCGGAAAGACAGAAAAAGACATCTAGAAAAAGAAGGTTTATCTTGATATAGCAGATATAAATAAGTAACAGATATTAATTACCCAGCTATCGCTCTGGTTAGCTTTCTGCGGTGTGTTAGGTGGTGTAGTGTGAAATTACTGCTGTGTATAATGTCTTGTCATAGGACTATTCATAAAATTACATTCAAGTAACGTAATCTATTGCATCATAATAACTGTGGTACAACTGAGTCAGTCCAACTTAAATATTTTGGGGATATTCTTGCAAAATGCTTATTTTTTTTCTGCAGAGATGCTTAGCTTTCTGTTTCTACTTGCAGCACTTGGAAGTGTGGTCACTGCTAGCAAAATAGCTTCTAATAAGGTTACAACAAAATCAGTCTTTAAGTGCCCATGCCTGTAGGAGGTGGATTATATGTGCCATCTCATGGTAACATGTAAACTGTGACACTGCAGGTTTATTGATTGTATTATAAAGTTTGGTTGTTGGTGAGGTGGAGGGTAGGTGGTGTTTGGTTGTTTGGGTTTTTTTGTATACATGAAACAATTGTAGCTCAGACAGAAAATTGCACGTGCTCCATGTTTTCAAACTGAATACACTTTTGAATTGGAAATGTCGATTTGATGGACCAAATAGATATTATTTTTTTTAAATTACTTTATTTTAAGAAATTTGAACAGTTTGTTCTTACCTGCATATTTATAGTCTATGTGGACATAGAATGTGTGAGAAACGTAAGCTACATGAGAAAAACTTCAGTTCTGAGTAAGCAAGCTGTAAATAGGGCTCTTCTCACTAACTCTGCATTAAGGAAGGAGTGGGCCTGTGTCAGCTATCTCTGGACTCTGTATTCTGACATCTAGTATTGTGACCAATGTTACGATGCTTATCATATGCTATCATGTGCTGCCGTAAGTGGACAGAGGGAAATAAAAGCTACAGAAAGGGTTATCAGCACTGACAGAAGAAGGTGACTATTCTTTAAATGCTTCTCAGTAATAGTTGGTTGAAATAGCCTCCTGCATAAAAGCCTTTAAGAAATCAGCTTTCAATTGCTGGTTTTTATTCTTTTTGGAGACTGTTTTATTTCAAATCATTAGTCTGAGTAATTGTGTTGAATTTTCTGGTGTAATAGCAGTTATGCCACCTGGGTAGGAAATAGATTTTATTTGCAGCTTGTCAAAAAATAGTATAAAACTATAACTTTAGGGCTCCTTCTGGTTTTTATTTCACCTATTTCATCACTTTTTTGTGAACTGCATACTCTTACCGACTTGGAAATATTCTTTTTGAAGGTGGGCATCATCAAAGTGATGTGCAGCTTTGTATTTCAGTCCTGTTACAGCACAGAATACCAGATCTTGTCTATCCAAGAGCTGTCTTAGTAAATTCTGTTACGTTAACTAACCTCTTAATTATTATTTAAAACAGCACTTAATGTATTGTGTTATTTAAGGGGTTAAATAATTGCTTTAGGCTTTAACAGGCCTTTATGCCACTAGCGGTCATTTATCATAGAATCATAGAATGTTTTAGGTTGGAAAGGACCTTGAAGATCATCGAGTTCCAACCTCCCTGCCATGGGCAGGGACA